CAATTCCTTTATCCTGAATACTAATTTTAACAAAAGAAGAAATTTCTCAAACATCCAAGTCAAGAAGGGCTGATATAGATCTAATTACATTTGTCACTTCCTGTTTTTTCTTAAGTTCAATGAGTTTCCTTCAATATTCTTTATCCCTGCAAATGCCTTCTCTAATCTCCTAGAAAAAGCTGTGCTTTGATAAAGTCGTCTTCTTTTCTTTTCAGTTAATATAGCAAAAAAGAAGCCATGTTTTGATACAGAGTACAAGTAAAGGCCACAAGATTATACATTAATAGCAACAACCATGCTTTTTACATTACAGTTAAATCACATCCCCAGCATATTCCGCTGCCTTGGCTTCTTAAGTGGCCTGCTGGAACTGAATAGTGTAGATTTATCCAGACTAAACTTCAAAAAATGGGCTTCCTGTCTAGAAACTTGATATACACTCATCAATACTTATACATGCATTAGAAACCACCATCCAAAAACTCCATTACAAATCGTAATACGCAACACAATTCGTCAGACGTGTGCGCAAGACTCACCATCAAAAACAAAATCCAAAAACAGATGTTGTAAACAATAACACCATCCATAAACCAAAACCAGCTAAACATTTAAACATTTTATATCCCAGAACTAAACTCTTAAGTTCATGCTGCCTTCAAGAAATCCACAGAACCGTTCGATTTGTTGATGTATGCGCAAGTCTCCTAGCATCTGCACTTGCTGCTCTAGAACTCGAACCAACATTTTCACTTCTTGTTGTGAATTCATCCTCCATGTTTTGAAGATCAATTTGCTCCGTCACCACTTCTGTGTTAGGCGTTAAAAAGCTCCTGGTCCATCATTTATAAAACCAGTTTGAAACTTTAACCTGACCCCAGTGGTGAGCATAAACTGAAAAGTTTTTTCTTCTTCATTTGGTTGGCTCGATGAAGCTCCATTATCTCCAACGAATGATTTTCTCCTTCGATTGTGGGGCAAAATCGATTTGGAGGCTATGGTTTATTCAAGGATCTGGACACTATTTGAGGATGGTTTGGAGAGGAGAGGCTCACGGTTTCAATTCAATGGGCTAGGGNNNACGGTTTCAATTCAATGGGCTAGGGTTTGTTTGGGAATTGCACTTTAAATGAGCTATTTGATTTTTTATCTTGGGAGAGTTAACAGCCACGTATGCATTCCATCATCCACGTAGGCACAAGTTAGAAACGGAAGTTAGCTGATGTGTAATATAGTGCAAGTGTATAAAGTTCAGTGAGTAATGGGGGCGCAAACTAAAGTTTAGTGAGTGAAACGTGATGTTATGCAAAGTTTGGTGTGTATTCAAACATTTAACTCGATTTTAATCAGTATAAGTTCTGCAAAAAATAAGCGTACTATTATTCAGTACGACCCGAAAGGCATAACCGTCTTCACTGCTTGATATTGTCTGAACTGCAATTGCAGGTTCACTTTTGCCGCCAACTTTTGTCATTTCTTATATCAATAAAGATATTTGTACAAAGTTGAGTTACAAAAGTTGGGTTACAAAGTGTGTTGACAAAATCGAGACCATTGATTTCAAATAATTTAAAAATCTGTTTTTAAAATGATTGGTGTATTATTTTGTCAACCAACTTTGTAACCCAACTTTGTACATGTAGTATAACTCTTTTCTTATATACCCCACTCATTTACCCTCTTCATGCCCAATTCATTGCAAAACAATAATAATAATAAATAAATAAATAATATTAACTCCTCAACCCCCCACCCCCACCCATTTATTGCAATAAATAGTGCATTAGGTTAGGGCCTTGTTCGTTCATTCATTTCAAACAATTCAAACTCTTAAAGAAAAACCCACCAAAATTCAGCAATTTTCTGAAAGACAACCAAAAAACAGTATTTCGAAAGAAAAAACCGTAGATCGACCAGTTTCCCCAATTCTCTTTGTTATGCATATCAACTATGTCTATTCAAAATCCACATGCCGCTGCCTTCCCCTTTTCATTTATTCTCTGTTCCCTTTCTTAGAACCCCCTCCTCCTCCTGAATTTCAAAACCCAAATTACTCTTCACTCTACTGATATATAGTTATATCTTATATGCGTGTATTTTTGTATTGAAAATCATAGAGTGAAATATGGATTCAGAAGTGGTGTTTGATAATGTGAAATTTGAAAAGGCAAAGGCGATTGCGCGGATTAATCGGTTTCGGAAAATTAACAAGATATGGCAGATTTTAGAAGTTTTCTTGCTTTTTGCGTTGGTGTCGTGGTCGTCGAAGCGTGTTCCGGNCTTGCTTTTTGCGTTGGTGTCGTGGTCGTCGAAGCGTGGTCCGGCGGGTCTCAGAATTTCTGGTCATGTTGTGTTGGATATATCGTCTTATCTTTTGAATCAACATGTTGTTTTTCTGATCGGGAATGCTATAATTATACTACTGTTTGTCCTTTGCCGCCAAAATGATGCCGGCAATGTTACAGGAATCGGTGATTTCTATGACGATTATGTGCAACACAGTGTGGCTGGTAAACGAGGCTCCTCTATATCCGAAAGTGAACGCACTACTCCGCCGGTTATGGAGGATGCCGACGCCGTGGAAGTTGGCGGTGGCGGCCAGGAGAAGCAGATTACTGTGTCTCCAGAAAGCATGGAAAAAGACGACTTGGCGGTGGCTATAGAAAATGCTTCCAGGCAGATAAAGAAATTTCAGAGGACTCAATCCGAAAAACTGAAGAGAGAGATTGCAGTGAAGCCACGGCGCGAGCTCCGGCGATCGGATACAGAAAAGTGCCGGTCGATAATCAGCTCCGGCGAGCGACAAATCACGGGGACTACATCGTTCGATGGTGCCGAGATTGATACGCTGAGCAGTGAAGATTTCAAGCGCACAGTGGATGCCTTCATCTTCATCCACAAACTTAGGAGCAAAAACTTGCCGAATTAAACGAGTTAGCATATCTGACCCACTTATCAGTTACATATAATCCCATTACCACTGTNCTTCATCCAAAAACTTTGGAGCAAAAAATTGCCGAATTAAACGAGTTAGCATATCTGAACCACTTATCAGTTACATATAATCCCATTACCACTGTATGGAGATGTGAAATTCAGCTCTTTAAATTTTCAATGCCAAGAGAACTAATGTACAAAGATGAATTGCCTGTTTCTGTAGTATTGAGGCCAACCTTTTTTTTTCCCTTATATTTTGGTACTTCTTTTCTTATGGGAAATTCAATAATCATGTCCATGTAGATCTCTCTCTTCTCCGAGTGTTCATGGATTAAGAATCAAAATCAGTACATGGAGCTGGGAAGCAAATATTATTTATATTGAGAAAAATTACTTTTGGTAGTAATCAAGATAATTAAAGATTAGCTATTATTCAAGTAATCACCGTTTAGTATAATCTAAAAACTGCATGTAACTATTCCGGTGGAAATTTTTTATCCTGGGAGGTCACTGCGATTTTCAGCACCAGATAAAAAGACTCATTTTCTAGGCGATTTACTACCTTGCTGATTATTTTTGGGTGAATGTCACGTGAAGGAAAGAAATTGAAATGATACGGGTTGAGATTCATGTTGCTCATTTTAGAAAAGAATGAAAGGCTCGGGACAAAAACACTCATTCTTCGACCAATTTATTGCTAGACTTATTCTTTTAGGGAATTCGTCCCATGGAGGAAAGAAATTGAAATGATTGGATTGGGAATTCATGCTTAGTTTGGGAAAATGAATGGGAGAAATTGCTATTGTCCACGAGTATTGTATATGATTACCTTACAATCATGTTATTATGTTTACACTCTATAATCACGACCTTCTAAATACTTCTTGAATTAAAGAAAAATTAAATTTCAAGGAGTCCTTTTCTTTTTTACTTTGAATTAAAGAAAACAATATCCTGTTATTTATTTATAATTTATAAATATTTCTTGCATTAAATATGTTCTTAATTAAACACTATAGTGCTACTTTAAATACCGTAATGATGATTATCTGATAGACATCTCCAAATGGAGCCCGGAATCAGTGGCTTTTTCCTATATTATGAAGCAATAATCTTTGGAAGATTAAAAATTTTCGAAAGTCACTTTTTTCCTCTACTTGAGGTAAATGAACTATTTGGTGCATCTTTATCGATTATCACCATTAATGCCTTGTAATGTAATTTTCTCATTCGAAAGTCACTTTTTTCCTCTACTTTAGATTCATTGGTGATAAATGAACTATTTGGTGCATCTTAATGCCGTGTTTGAGAGCCATTAATTTCTTGTAATGCATTCATTATATAATAGTAGATTGACGGAGAATGTGTGGTTCAAAAATAAGAAAATTTAATTGATTTGTGTGTAGAATATTTTTATTGCATGAATGTGTGGTGGAGAATAGAACTGTAACAAATAATTTAAAATGTTAAAGGGTGACAAATAGGGGCTAACATCCCAACATGTCATAATTACCTAGCCTAAAGCCACAAGTTAAAAGGGGCCATATAGATTTGGAGAGCTAACCTCGACATGACCTTCCTTGTCATTCAAGTCATTTCGGAGCACAAAAATTTTTGTTTCTATGGATATTTGACACGTTTTTGTCAATTTTAATTGATCTATGTCAGTAACAATTTTCTCTTTTATTAAGATATATGTATTACGTCAAGCATAATCATTCTCTCTTAAATATTAATTAGAAGTGTTTTTCTCGATATTCGATTACATAAGATAGGAGGTGATGCTACCAAAAATCGTACCTGTCGACTTCCGAACTTGACGACTGAGAATGAGCACGAACAAGGTCTTCCGATACCTGAAACAAAGGCGTCGAGGTGTGTCCTCGTCGCCCCTCCGATGCTTAAGTCAGAAAGGGAATTTATGAAAGTAATATATGCTGTAAATTGTATCTAAAAAAGTGT